CAAGTGACTGTCTTTATGAGCTGGGTCAAAACAACCCAATAGCTGGGTTTGTCCCTTTTTAACCCAGCGCTGGGTTATATTTAACCCAGCATTTTTTAGAGTGTAATGTACATTGAATATCCTCAAAAACCTAAAAAATATTGGCTTCTGAATCTGTCATTTCAGCGATGGAGTTCCATGAGAATCTACACGACATGGGGGTGAAGGAGGGACTGAAGGGAAGAAAGCTCCACAAATCTGTAGAGAGCTTCACCTGGAACATCACGATTCTGAAGGTGATCACAGCTGAGACTTTGAGCGGCCGTTTAACACCTGTGAAAAATTCTGCTCCCATTGGAGATGACGATTTGCATATATTTTACCATAAGAAGATTTGAACATTCAGATGTGCTCCTTGTGATTTAAGATGCTGTGATGTATCACAGTTAACAATCTTGAATTTATGATGAATATTAATCATTTCTCGACCAGTGTGGCAGTTTTGGGACACTGACTGTTTAATTCGGGGGTTGCACAGCCTCTTGTGGAATAAAAAGCAAATAGCCTGTAATAGAATTCAGAACAGCACCGATAACTAGATTTGCATTTCCTGAAGGAAATACCTCAGTGCTTACGCAAGGCAACCAAAGAGAAGTGTGAAAGGTTGAGTATGTTTAGGTGTTAGACGTTTGGTTCAGCATAAATGAAATCCTGCAGCATAAAGGCGTCTATTGATTATTAAATAGATACAAGAGAATCACTATTTAGTATGCAAATACATGCAAGGAAGACGACCAATCACGATTACTGTAAATGCAAATATTCATTCATTATATTCAATTCATCAAAGCAAATGTTCATCATTATACCCGGATCTTAGATTTTGCTTATGGCCACAATCATTAACAGAACTTAGAAGCACCCTTTACATAATTTGATGTTTCCGGTAAAAATGACCGGCCTTTTAAAAATTGCTTGTAAATGCTATATTTATCACCAAATCTTGGATTCAATCTTTTTGTCAACTTGTTTTCTCTCAATTAGCACAGGTTTTGTATTTCTTTTTTGAACTGATTGATTGTAAGCCTCACTGAGTTGCGCTTATAAACCTCAGTTTTTGAGTGAAAAAGCATTATTTGTGCTTACTCAAAAACCAATATACATATATATATATACAATGGCATGCGAAAGTTTGTGAACCCCTTACAGAATCTGTGAATAATTTTAACAAAATAAGAGAGATCATACAAAATGCATGTTATTTTTTTATTTAGTACTGTCCTGAGTAAGATATTTTACATAAAAGATGTTTACATTTAGTCCACAAGAAAAAAAAATAGCTGAAATTATTAAAATAACCCCATTCAAAAGTTTGGGAATACTGTGTGTGGTTTCCTGGATGATCCACAACTGTTTGTTTGTTTTGTGATGGTTGTTCATGAGTCCCTTGTTTGTTCTGAACAGTTAAACTGAGCACTGTTCTTCAGAAAAATCCTCCATGTCCTGCAGATTCTTCAGTTTTCCAGCATCTTTTGCATATTTGAACCCTTTCCAGCAGTGACTGTATTATTGTGAGATCCATCTTTTCAGACTGAGGACAACTTAGGGAGTCAAACACAACTATTAAAAAAGGTTCAAACATTCACTGATGCTCCAGAAGGAAACACGATGCATTCAGAGCCGGGGGGGTGAAAACTTTTGAACGGGATGAAGATGTCCAAGTTGTTCTTATTTTGTTTAAATATTTTTTCCCCCATTTAGTACTGCCCTTCGGAAGCAACATAAGATACTTGCATGTTTTCCGGAAGACAAATTAAGTACAATTTACCTTGATCTTCAAATTCAAAATCAGACACTGCTGGAAAGGGTTCAAATATGCAAAAGATGCTGGAAAACTGAAGAATCTGCAGGACATGGAGGATTTTTCTGAAGAACAGTGCTCTGTTTAACTGTTCAGACTGTTCAGTCGTGGATCATCCAGGAAACCACACACAGTACTTTTGAATGGGGTTATTTTAATAATTTCAGCTATTTTTTTCTTGTGTGGACTATATGTAAACATATTTTATGTCAAATATCTTACTCAGGACAGTACTAAATAAAAAA